TTGTAAAAGTCGTCAGCATGTCATTTATCCTATTTTGATATAATTTAATTTTATTTTATATATTCTTATAAATATTGTTAAACAATATTTTAATTTCATTTATTATAAAGCCAACATTTTTTTTATATACATAATTATTAATATTTAGAATTACAAATTTCATTTTGAAATTGAACATGTGAAAGCTTTGTGCTTACTTACGTGATTGATGTTACGCGGTGGTTGGTGTTTCGGCTAAATACGTAATCAAGAAAGCTTTCTTGAGTGAAACTAGAACCAATGACGTAAACGGTAAACATTGCGTATGAGTGATGTTATCGGTGCGTATGAGTAATGCAAACAAAACGGGAATTACTGTTGGATCAAATAAATATAATCAAATATAGTTATACATCACCAAACAGGTTGTAGAATGAATCATCATTGCATCTGAATGGGAAGGCATTTAGAGAATTTCCTGAATCGCAAAGTCCTCAATATTAGCATTCCGATAAAGCATAATTACCTCACCATTTGACAAGTATTCGCTACCATTTGTCGTAAAGTTATTTTAATGACTTTAGCTTGTTCAGTTGTCAGCGCTTGTTGCATTCGTGTTTGGATTTTTTTTGCGACTCAAGCGATTTCCGTCATTTACGGCTCAATTAAGCGTTTGCCTCGTTTTTCTTTGCTTTAGAAATTTGCATGTGGCAGTTCAATGCTGGTCGCGCTTTTCGGCCACCGTTCGATGATCCCTCAAAGCGTTAAAAGGTTTTCCAAAGGCCAGACGCTCTGACCCTTTAGCAAATAAACTGATCAGTTCATGTCGACTCATAAGTTTTTTCCATTGTTTTTGTCTCCCTTAACTTATGCGCATTCATGAATGCAGTTTTTTTTATGCAGGTGCAGTGCGGCTCAAAAGTGTAAATTAAATAGCATTTATTAGTCAGTATACTAACCCTTAAGCACTTTATCAAGCCCTTTGCTTCAGAAATTAACGTATTTATTTGGGCTTAATAAGAAGAGCGTTTAAAGATTTTGTTTATTTTAAAATGTATAAAATTCAGAGTTTGCTTAGTTTAATTTAATATTAATTAAATGTAGTGCTTAAAAAATATTTCAAAAGCAGAGACTTGCGGACAATAAGATATTCACTTCCATTAACAAATTTCAAAACAATATCAAAGAAAATTTCAATTAGAATAAAATTTGAGATCAATATTTTTTAGATAAATATAAATTAACAATATTATTGTTTTACAGCTTTGAAACGCGCCGTGTGTTTATAGTCGTGCCTCTGTTTGATTTCTAACGCTTTTTACCGTGTCGCACGTTGCGCATTCGATTAACACCTCATCTTGCTTATTTACCTGCTGCAACTGCTTCTTCTTGTGTTTTGAATTATTCCTACTCGTTGTGGTAGTTTTGCATCACAAAAGTCTCGCTTTATTTTGTTTTTTCATCTTTTTATTTTGTTACTGTTTGCCGTTTTCTCAATCTTGATTATCTTGGCTTTAATTTGCTGCTTCCTACGAGTGGGTTTGTGTGTGTTTCTGAGGCAATTGTTAGGCCATTGTTGATACAACACTTAGATAGCACTCGCCACTACAATGCACTTTTGTTTGGCTGAAAATGCGAAACGTGACCGTTATTGACAGCGGTGAGAGATTTTCTATTGCGGTTGCTTGTCGACAAATGTAAATGAAAATGAGTACAATTTTTGCCATTTTAATGAAATAGTTAGAAACGGAAAAGTGGCCAGCGAAACATATTTCTCAAAATAGCAAATACGCATTCACTATTTTTTGGCAGACAGAACAAAAGCTGATACTCGTATGTTCGAAACGGTTTATTTGATCTACTGTTCCCCCTTTTTTCACCCCTGAGCGCCAATCAAGCGAACAAGTTTTTTGATTTGCCTCTTTTCCGTGGAAATTTGCACAATTCTTTTGCATTTCCGACAATTGGCGCACGTTGCCTTTCAATGTGTGCTTTATTTTTAATGGCTATGATGTTGATGTGTATAATGATGATAGTTTGAGGGAGGTGGAAGGGGGCGAAAGAGGTGCCAAACAACCATTTGTGACGTACATTCAGTTGGGCGTGGTCAGTTGGTGGGCTTGTTTTGGATTGCTTAATGATGTGCAACAGACATCATTTTCCGAAATTTATGATGACTTGGGTTGTATTTAAAGTAGTTTATAGAGAAAATAAAATTAAGTAATTTAGTATTAGCTTTTCGTTTTTTTTTATAGAAGTAGAATTTTAAAGTTCCTAAGAATATATTAAGTTAAGTTGTTTTTTAGGTATTTACATTTACATACAGTCAATATGAAAAACATGGTTTTTATGATATTTTAATATTTCAACAGTGATAAAAACAACTGAAAATGGAGAAAAAATGTTAACTTATGTTTAAGGTAAACCATTAATGGGATTATAGTTATTTTTTTATTTTTAAAACTGTATTTAAGTGTACCCTTGACACTTCCGTTTTAGCATGAAAATATGCAATTTGAGAGGCAATAAGAAGTCCCATTTTGCTGATGATAAAGTGGGAAAATTGATTCGTAATAGCACATTTGCACACAAAATCTATATGTCAAAAGCTGACAGTGCATTAGACCAGCAGCCACAAGATTTATCTTGCGTTGCGGAGTTCTCACAGTAATTTTCCGGTGTTGTATTTGATAAATTGGCTTTCGACGAGCACGAGCTCATTGCCTGATTTAGTTGAAATTTCAGCTATTTGTTCTTGATTTGTTCTGTTTTACTTAGCGACAATTGTGTCGTTTTTGAGGGCTGTGGCTTTCGTTCGCCGCCCGTGTTTGGCTTTCCGTCTGGCGGGGGGCAATGTCAGAGTCAGCTTTTCGGCCACATGTGCTGTCTGTGTTTTTTCTGGCCCATTATATAGACCAATGCGAGCAAACAGGTATGGGTGTATGTACACATCACATGTGCCGTCGCCGTCCCACTAACCTGGCAACCGAACAGTGTGGTTTTCCTTTATTTTTCGGCATTTTACAGAATGCAAATAGAAAGACAAATGGCTAGCAAATCGCCACCTCGATTGCCAAATGGTCTGTGACTAATCGCCCCCGAGTGCTGTGAGGTCGCTAATTGGTAGTATCAACTAACATCCCAGAGCGGCTGTGAACACATCCACCATATGTTCTTAACTATCTCCCTGATTATCTGTGTAAATAAACACAATTCCAAACCAAAGCATTGCTGTGCTGGGATCTTGAGTTGCGGTCTCGGTTTATACATAAACTTTTTGGCCATTTTGCAATCACTGCAATTTTCAATTGGTTTTGGTTTGGTGGTTTCTTGACCCAAAATAAAATATGTCGACACAGCTGAGTTGGTAAAGGTTAAGAGCTCATAGAAATCTTTAATGGGAACGGAAAATGTGTTACGGGCTGAGTGAAAAGTAAATGCTCTTTAAGGTTTTTGAATGGATTCAAAATTTTTGGTTAAGAAGTAAGTTCTTAAGTGCATTTTTAAAAAATCTTTTTTTTTGTATTGTTTGTGTTTAATTATAGTTCTGTTATATATATAAGTTATTTATGTTATTGGCTCAACTTCCAAGTCAAATCAAACTCCTCAAACTCCTGCTAAAATTGTATATTATCTATAAGATCTTAAGACTTAAATTGTAATATCTTGTATGTTTTCTAAAATTAAATGTTTGCCATCACCTTTAAATACAAATGTTGCTTGACCATAAACTCCTGAAAATTCAATTCGATTTTCAAGTTTATTTTTGGCTTTTGGTGTTACTTAGCCTTATTGTGTATACACAATATCTATAGGTAAATTCCTACATAAAAGAAGAAAAGAAATTTTTTTCCCAAGAAACCATTAAAATAAAAACATCATTCGACATAAAAAAATATAAGTCAACAATTACGTTTAGCTATGAGAAAATTCCCTAGCTGTGACAGAGCAGTACATTGATCTTTCATTGGGCCGTGTTTTCCTTAATCCCGTGATTCCATTAATAGTGTCATTTGAAATCTCGCAGACGTAATACCCTCCGCCGATCCTAGGGGAATGCAAAGCAGAAAGCGCAGCGCGAGAATTAGTTTCAGTTAGCACCGCCGATCTCGAGGAACTAGTCAAACAGGGGCGCAAAGAGGGGGGGCGATTCGAGAAGGGGCGGTACAGTGGCGTGGGGAGGGGGCTGCGGTAGGAAGGTGTGAAGGCAAACAGCAGACGGCAAACAGAAAACAGAAAACTGGATGCAGTGCAGTCCCGAATGCGAATCGAATACCTTTCGGATGCACTCGCTCTTGCAAATGGACTTTGCACCCGTTAGCTGCCAAAAAGAGAAGAGATTCAAAGGGAAAAGAGGTTAAGCCAAATAAAAAAGAACATTTTACAGCGTGGGGACCCAAATCCAAATACTCCAGCTCCAGCTGGCTCTCTTTCTCTGCTGCTGCATCCTCTGCCAATTGAAGCAGAGCGATATAGTGGTGTCACAGTTTCAGATCTAAATCTCACACAATTCACTAATAAATTAATCAGTTTATGTCAGCGAAAACTGTTCATGGCAACTGTAAAATGTTTTAGTTTTAATTTAAATATTTAAAGCACATAATGAAAAGTTGAAAGTCAATTAAGTCAAAGAACTTTAAAGCTTGTTAAAAACCTTTTCAATACTTATGATGGGTTTGCCTATTTTGTTTTATTTTAAAACATTTTTTATTAAAAATTAGCAATACCTAGCCAAATATTTAATCTATAATGAGCAAGTATTAGAAAGCCTGTTTCTTATCAAAAATGAGTAATTTTATTTGATTTAAATACGACGTTTTATCGAGCTCTTTAGCTTTGCGGAATTTTTGTGACAATGCATGAAATAAAAAAGCTGAGAGCGGCGAAACGGCTAAAACGTCAGCACTACGGAGCGCCAGCTGCGAGTGGCGATCTGACGACGTCGACGCCGGCAGCGCTGCTCCACGATCGCTGGGTCGCTTTCCGCTTTCAGCTTTCCGTTCAGTTCACGCTCACCGCTCGCCGCGCTCAGTTCTCAGTTGTCGGATTGCCGGTTGCGGAGAATTAGATAAGGACTCTCGCCGAAAGTGGAGGCAACAGCTAAAGCGAAAAGAAATAAATGTACAACCAGCCTGGACTCGGATTATATTTTTGGGATCAAGATAATGATGATCCGATCGGGCTGAACGTGTATTGCGCGTGTGTTTCGCTTTTACGCTTTTTCAACTGCGGCGAGGGCAGCAAAGAAATACGAATTCGAAATCAAAAACGAAATCGAAATCGTGTATTGTGAATCGGAAAGCGAGGGAAATTTCAGAACCCTAAGAAGTTCGCCCCTTTTCGAAGTAACAGTGAAGTGTATTGTATTGTTTAACAAAAAAAAAATAAAATAAATTAAGAAGCTGCGAGCAAAGCAATGCGAAAGAGCTGAATAAAAGAGGCGAAGAGCACATTTAGAAGCAGAAGCAGAAAGAAGCAGAATTTACCAATCCAGAGTCTGATTTATATGTAGCTGCGTTGGCGTGTTTGCAAGATTGGTGCTAAAACAAAGGGGCTTTTGCAAAAAAGCCATCCTAATATATGCTAAAAAATTACTTAAAATTCTTAACCAAATGAATACAGTTTTTCGGGCGAGATTTATAATCATTTTCTAATGACAACGGCCGTACCAAAAACAGGCAACAAATTATTTGCCCGCCGTCTCAGTTCCATACATCTTTTAATTTATTATAAGCAGTGACAGTGTTTTTTCTTCATTTTCTGCCTGCCCCGGTTCGCTGGGAAAGAGACTGGGCGAGAAACAAAGGGAGAAAAAAACGAAAATACAAAAATAAAGGAATACAAAATACAAATTAAACACGCGAATGTTTCAAACGCAAGTCGAAGCGAGTTGAGTGAATTAATGAAATATATGTATATACGCTCATAAAATCTATATATGCGCGTTTTTGTGATATATTAAATAACGCTCCAATAAAAGCAAATTTATTTCAATTGTTAAGTCGGCGGAAAAAGGCCAGCAGATAAATAAGTTAACAAATTGAGGAATACCATAATACACCCTATAAATTTGGATTAATTGTTAAAACCCACAAAGGCGGATCAATACTGTAAGTTTCAATGGTTATAAAGGTGGAAAGTTAATGTCTCATTGATGGAACAAAATTGTTATAAATCAAAATATAATAGAAATGTGTTCGTTTTTAGAAGTTTAGCCGTAGGTAGCCAGTTCTTTTTTCTTTAATTATTTGTAATATTTTTATTTTTGGATTTTCTAGTATGTCCATTTCTTTTTCATACTTGTACACTTGCTCTAATTTCTTTCTGTCTGTTTTGCGATCCTTATTTTAATTGCATTTTATGCTTACTTGAACATTTCGCTTGTGCCGTGAAGAGCCCGCTTGAGACTGTCAAAAAAAAGTAAATAAAATAAGGCACGAAGAGATTTTGCAAGCTCGTTAGCCGAATAACGGTCGAGGTAGAGAGTTACCATGTTATATGGTCATGAGATAAGACACTTCAGACAGCACTTGATGTTTATGGCGTGCCTTCTTTTTCCTTCTATACCGCCCCCTTTGGCCACACCCCCCTGGGCTGTTTTTCACCTGGCCCAAATATATTTACGTTCGGTGAATGACAAGCACTGCTCTTCTGTCAGATCATCTAGGTTAACGGTTAGCTAATTAACTTTCCAACTTCTCCTCCGCCCTTAAGTTTTAATTGCCTGAAAAAAAACTGCTTTTATAACAGGCTAACGTCTCTACTTGTAATTTTAGGTAGCCATTAGAAAAGTTCATTGTTGAATTCAACTTTTTAAAGTTTTCTCAGCGGACCTTTTAATACCCAGTTTTAGGTTAAAAAGCTTTTGAAAAGGTATTGAACTCAAAGTACTTAAGTTTTTCGAGTGTCATCTCAAGTGTATCTCACCTTTAAGCGTTTACATTTTTTTTCTTTTTTTCGTTCTTATCACAAGCAGATATGTGGCAAATAATAGTTTCCCTTCTGATTTGTTCATTAAAAAAACTGTTGCAACCGCATACAGTGCCTGCGATAAGTGTGCGTGCACCCTGAACACACAATAAATCGTGCGATGACTTCCCCATCGAAATTTCGCTCCGCTGGTTCTTCCTGTTCCATATCAATCACGTCGTTAAGGTCTCCGGTTGACATTTTTCCTCAGTTTCGATCGCTTTGCAGCCGCTCAACGTGTTTCGCATTTTAACTATCTTATTAACCGTCGTGTTTCGCTATTGTTCTCATCGCTCGCACATAGAAGTGTGTAATTAACTGAGGTGGGAGATAGAGATGATGAAGGAGATGATTATGAACGTGTGTGGGCTCTACGGAGCGGTGAGACTGAGCATTTGTCCAGCTGTCAGAAAACTGGAGCAGCTCCGTCGGCCACGTGAATCAGATAAGCGCCATTATTTGATACCATTTTTTGGAGCTGACTGTTTGCTTATCAAATTTTCAGTGAATGACCAGATGAGTGGCTAAAGATATTTAAATCGTGTAAAATTATTACCAATTTAGCAAAAGTAAAAAGTAAATATATAGGTATAAGAATATCCAACTTAATTTAGACCAATCCGGTAGCAATTAAATAATTTAATTTATTGTGGAAATATTTTCAAACTGGTTTAAAATATATTCATTTACTTTTATTGTTTTTGATTCAACGAATTAGTAACATTAATGTTAAATTTCAAATATAGAACTAATGAAACAAATCAGGCCATGTGGTTCTTAGTTTTTAAATTTAATTAAGCTTGGCAAATTTCACTAAAGTTTTAATATAATTATAATTACAAATATCAAACTCTTGCTAAATAAATCAAATTTAATCATGTGACTCAGGCACTTATCAGCGACTAATTAAACTTTGCATATTAATTAGGTGACAGGGCCTTTTCCAACTACAGAGATAAATATTCCCCTGCAAAATTCCAGGTGACTCAATCGTCGGGTGTGGGTGGGTCCAGATTATAATTTCACTCCCCCTTTCTGGGCATTGGTGCACTTGTACTCCGTCAACATTTCTTCCTTAACTAACCAGAAAGCCCACAAGTGAGCAGAAATAAAGCGACATTAAATCAGAGACGTCAGCGGCTTTGAGGTTTGCGTCACCTGAAGGCACGTCACTGAGCCAGAGTGTGGAATGATTTTGGATTTTTGCATGGAATCGTTAATTAACTGGTTCGACAGAAAGATCAGAGCCGCGGCGATGTCGCCAAGTGAATCACTGCATTTTTCCAGCCGCTGGCAACAAAAGGAGTTCCACATTAAGAATATAAAATAAAAATGTGTTGAAGAGGTGTTGGGCGCGAATGAAATTGACTTGCTTAATCAGCACGCCAATGTTAATTCGAAATACGCGTGGCTTTTAGCATTGTGATGGCCGGGCTTCCCATTCCTGCCACTCTCCATGATATCAACGCTTTTATCAGCGCCAACAAATCTGCTCAAATAACAAATATGTGCCAAGCACACATCACAGTTGTACATTATATTCTTTGTGGTATGTGCTATATGGCCATGCGGTATCTTATCTCCTCACAACATGCATGTCAGCGTTTAAACGACGCATTAGCCATTAGCCATAAGCCATAAGCCATAAGCCATAAGCCAAATAAGCCAACTCCATGCACTTCACTCCATCAAGACCCCAAACAGATATGAAAGTTTGGGGCCGAAAAGAAAAGTGTTTGGCATGCCGCACAGTCGGAATAAAAATGCAAACAAACACTCACGGACACATTTAAGATTAGGTTTGTTATGTATGCCAAACAATTACCCAAACTTAAACAAATGAAAAGCACACCATTTTCGGGCTTAGAAAGTAAACAGATAAAGTTGCAAATGGCTTTCTGATGGTTTATTGACTTTTTAAAAAACATTTTAACTATCAACCTTATAAAAAACTGTAATAAAAATAAAATGAATTTAAAATCGAACACAACTTTTTTGCATTTTAGTCTCTAAAAAAGTATTTAGTTTATAATGTAGTTTAATATTTTATAATCCTAACACCTTTTATCTAAAACCATAGCGTCTCAAACAGAATGTTAGGTCATTATTCAGATAAGGGGCTCAGCTTCTGACAAGTTTTATTAACATGGAATCTTGTGATAAAGATCTCATTTAACTGGCTTAAAAACATTATATTTTTTTATAGCTAACAAACGAAGGTAGAACTCACTTTTCAAATATGGATATGGCCCTACAACAACTTTAGAGTAACTACCTTATAGGGAATATACACAGAAAGGAAAGGCAAACGAATAAAATCAGCATAATTTTAGTTGGCAAGTCAGAAATATTAAAAATGCCAAACAGGTCGCAACTTTTTCTTATGTATTTTTTTGGCTGATTGATTTGTTGCCTGTCGTCTTGGCCACTCCACCCACGGCTCCGTTATTTGGGTGTGGGTGTTGGCCATAAAGCGATGGAACGCCCCGCAGATCTCACCTAGATTCGCTGCGCTCTCCTTTTATTTTGTGTTTTATTTTATACTTTTTGGCCCGGCCAATTTGAGGCCTCTGTTTGCCAAGTTGCTCCGCTCGTGTTTTATTGTTTACCGGGCTCTCTAGCTGCCTGTTGTTTACCCATCGTCAGCTGCTGTTTGATTTGCAACAATAATTTTTGTTTACGGTTTATGGTGCCCCTGCGAACGTGGATTGTTATTATTTAGATGATTACGCATTTTATAGTCACAAAACGGTCAACGTTTGCGTGATATGCGTTTCGTATTAATTATGAATTATTATTCCCTCTACTTGGCCACTTTAATTTTTGTTTTTTTTGTTTGTTTTTTTTTTGGTAATTTTTGATGGCTTTTTGAGAGGGTTTGTTGTGAAATTGATTGGGCAAGCGTTAAAGTAGTCCAATGTCGATTACGAGGGCATTTTTAATTAGGGTATAGTTTATGTGTTCACAGCTTGAGGGAATGTTTACTTTATTTAATATAGCGCTTGCGGTCAACTTTAATTGTGGAGATTTTTAAATTCAAAAAATACGTTTTGTAAACTTAGCATATTTTAGTGGAACTTGCCATGGTTATGTATTCAAATAAATCATTATATTTATGTTATATTTCAAAAAGTTCCACTTAAAACTTTACTATAGATCCGCCCCTGTTTCGGCCAAACTATCGAACCCCAAATTGTTACCTAATTATAGTGCTTGTCTGGCTCTAAAAAGCCGGGTTATCTAATGACTTTTTTCCGTGCGTTCTAACTGTTTGCATTTCATTTCATTTCGCTATTGTCTTGGCAATGTTTTCTGTGTTTTGCAACCACTAATTGCTAATAAATTGTGCGCAGTTATAATCTGTGGAAACGGGCCCTGTTTCGACCCCCTGGCCACCCCCTTACACTATCTGTTCCGCCCCTGTCGACTAATCTTAACACGCTGATCGACGAATGGCGCCAACTGACAATGAAATTGACAGTCAAATAAATATAAGTCTAGTAAAAAGCTTGCACTTAAAAAAATATCTTCTAAATTGTAGAAGGAAAGAGCTATTTTGAAGTCGTATTTACGTATTTAAATATATTTATTTAATTTATTAAGATTTGTCGTAATTTCTTAGGATAAGTTTATAAAAATAAGAATATTATTAAACTACTAAATTTATAGCAACATTATTTTTTTTTGGGTGTACGCACATGTCTTTTGTTAATTATTTTTATGATTTATTTCGAAGATTTTACATTTTTTGCTTATCAGGAAATGGAAACCAGAGGAGCGTGTAACGAAACGAAAAGTTAAACACACTTGATAATTTTAATTGAATTCGCTGCTGTTAAATTTATTAAGAACCTAAGAGAAATGAAATCAAGTCAAATCGAATTGAATTGAATTGAATCGAATCGAATAAGCTTCCAGATGTCGGCGGCGATCGTTCTCCGCTCGGTTCATTGACTTTTCCACGCCTTGGGCGACTGTTTGAGTGGCGGCGCAGATTGAGAACGCCGCACTAAATGTGAGATATAAAGTCAAGGTCGGGCTGTTCTGTTTTCCGCTGATAAGGCAAAGGCAGCCAAGTGTCGCGATAAGAAAAACCAAACATGAGCCGGCAGCAATGCGCAGAGAAAAGCCATAAAGCAGAGCAATCAACAAACACATTTATAAAGACAAACAGTCAGAGGAAAGTTCCTCCATGGCTGTGGAATTCCATTCAAAAATATTGGCAATATCACTTTATTACCGATCAGAGTTTGGCCAAGAGCAGGCTTTGTTGTCCTAACAAATGCTTACTCGTTTCTTTATTTGATTGGTTCTTTTGAATTTGAATTTGATGGTATAAACAGGGCTTTTATTAACCTAATGAATATTTCTATAACTTCAACCATTGTTAGAGTAAGTTCAAAAATGTTGCTTATTTATGCAAAGCTTTTAGATGCCTTTGCCTAAAGTTGGTCAATATTTCAGGGAACAATATATAAATCGGACTTAAAGAATTCTTTGAAAATTAGTATTTTTAAGATCTATATTATATGTAATTAATTTTTCAAATGATTTAGAAATTAAATTAAGTTACTTTGTTTAATTCTTTTAATCTTATGGTTCATAAAAACAACTGTAAATTGTGTCATCCAAAAAATATGTCTCAAAATTATTTATGATGGAAAACTTCGTCAGACGGCGTTATAAATTTTGTTTTTGCCCTGGCAACTTTTGCATATTTTTCGTAAACATTCATAAATAGTCTAATGATGTTGCTTTGACTGCTGACTCCATTAATCAAAGCTTGTCACTCAGTCATTCACCCATTCAGCCGGCATTCATTCACTGCTTTTTTGCTGGCGGATGTATCTTGTATCTCTGGGTGTTCAACTTTATCTTAAGGTTTGTTTGGCACTCTCGCAATTTTTTTGTTGGCTTTTTTTGAGGGCGATTCCATGGCGCTCAAGAAAAGTTTTTGCCGGATTCATGGCTCGAGGGTTTTTCCAGTGAACCATTTGAAACGAAACCGCAATCAATCTGGCAATTAAATGATGTAGGAAATTATTAATGAGTTTCTAGGTAAATCCTCTCAACGATATGAAATAATGTTTGATTTCTTCAATTGCAGATTTAATTGGAATGGCATCATCCCCGAACAATGCGGCGCCGCCTGTTTTATGGAGGGCGAGACGCAAAATTGGTAAGTTCCCCGCACAATTTGACTAACATTTTTCCAGCCAAAGCAATCAACACTGTTTTGGGTCATTAAATTATGGCCGGATTTATGTGTTGAATTTAAAGTCAAAACGCGCCGAGGTTCAATGCCATTTTTGCATGTCTAATTTTTCATTATCCTGCTTTCGAAAAATGTTAGGATGGGATTAAAAGCCGTCTTTGTGTTTGCCCCATCAAATATTAACGAGACAAGGCAAGATGTTAAGTAGCGTAAAATTGAAACTTTGCATTCAAAGGCGGGCTTATGAATTTTTGAAAAGCCTTAGCAAATCTGCAATTAGTAAATGTATTTTGGAACGACACCGAAATCAATGGCAAATCGGATTTGCATTTGCAGGGCTGATGAGTTAGTTGGGGTCAAGTGGGGCTTTTGGGTAATAGTTACCCAAACTTCTGCCTGACTGAATACAATCACAAAAAGTTTTAATTAATTTTAAACAAACGGCCAAACAAACAGCGGGCCGGCCAAACAAACAAAGCCAACCGACAGAACTAGAGAACTTTGCACAATTTATGGTCGTTGTCGCGTGGCTCCCACGCCCCTTTTACCCGCCCCGCCCCTCTCCGCCTGCTCCCTGGTACAGTGGATCCACGAGTGGCGGATTCTGTTTGCGTTTGTAATGGTAACAAGAAGCAGCAGAGAGGACTTCTTTGCACGCTTTGTCAACACTTTTCAGGAAGCGAAAGTCGCTGATGTCGCCGCTGTCACGCTCCATGTGGTTTATAGGGACTCCTTTTTATTCACACACACACAAATACACACATTCTGGGTTGCCGTCATTTCCGTTTCCGTTTCCACAAAAAAAACACTGGCAAACAAAGGCCAAAACAAAATGAGTGAAAAGCTAACTGAATTAAATAGAGTAAAATAACAAAGGGAGAAGTTGGGGGCTTGCAAAAATGCTGACACCCTTTCAACGATGTGTTCATAGTTATAGAAGCATAATTTAAAAAAAAATTAAGCTTGGCTTAAAAAGACCTAAAATCGATTGGGGAATACTGAAAGTGAACTAGTAACACAAGAATCACCAAGTTCTAAAAATGAATATAAATTGTTGGGAAAGTGTAAAAATCATTAGCATTAACATATTTTACGTTCCCCTAAAAGAAAAGTAGTTTGAAAAATAAAAAAAAAATATTTACATCTGCTGAAATACATTTCTTACTTTATAAAAGAAAATTTAAAAATAAAAGTTTATTTTTGTGAACCCACTAGCTTGCATAAATTAATGAGGTTTTTGTAGATAAACTAAATTTAAAGTGAGTACCATTTTTTCCCGGCTTTATTTTGAGTTTGCGTTTACTTTACTTTGTTTTGATTCGCGGTTCACTCAACTCCAGCTCCGATAGCCGGCAAATTGGCATTGAGTAAAAGTTTCAGTCCAATATCGTAACGTTTGAGTGCGAAGGGGCAGAAGCTTTTTTTCGCGGAGTCAAAGCTGCGGCGAAGTTTATCGAAAGTTTATCTTAAGCTCAAAGCCGGTTCTTTTGGCCAACTGACTGAGTGCACACAGATACGCAATATGTCTGTATTTGTGGGCCTTATGTCCAACTAACGGTGCATTTTTCGTAAATACAATTCAAATCGATTCGCATCGGTTTTTGAGTCATGTCGCATAATTGGTTTTGTTCTTTGGGCGGAATAATTTCAAACAGCTGTTGTCTCTGTTCGACTTGATATCGTCAGGGAATCCAGAGAAAGGAACAAGTTTAATTAACTTCCACTGCAGACAACAAATGCCTTTGTTGCCTTTTCGGATGGCTTTGTTTTGCTGGTTCTCTTAATCTCCTTAATTAATTTGAGCTCACTCGTGCTTATCTGCCATATAGAATGACATAAGAATGTTGGATAATATAACAACTTCCTTTTAAAACCAAAATCGTAAGATTGCAGACGAGATCTTAAAATTCAAAGTATAATCATAATATTGAGAATAAAAAAAAATTAATGGCGTTATTATCCACATACTTTTTAGTTTAAAAGGTTTATATTTATGTTTAGTTTGTTGACTTACATTTCGATTTTATGATTTTGGCTCCAATTTATTATACAAGTTTTTAAATTGTTTATTTTATAAGAACTATTCTTTTAATAAAACCGCATTCATTTTTTATAGTGTAGAAAATATACATTATGATAAGAACATATTTTTAATGGAATTATAATAAAAAAACACTGTTTAGGAATATTAAAGCCAAACAATCTTTACGAGGAAATTTTAATTTGTATAATTTAACTTTATTTTATGGCTATTTAAGAACTGCAACATTTCGCTTCTGTTCGGTTTTTTAGGTTTTCGCCATCGATTCATTATTCTATCTGCAGGCGGCGGCAATCAATTACGGCCATGGTCGCATGGCGTTAACAGCGAAAAAAAATAATATAAAAAGTCACACATTTCCCAGGTCACAGAACACAGATACAATTTGTTTTCGCTGATAAGAAAATCTGAAAAAAGGAAAAACGTAGCGCTATCAACAAGTTGAATGCGAATGTCAGAGCAAAGGGAATAAACGATAAACGAGAGGAAGGAGAGCGAGAAACCCAACAAGGGGAGAAAGAGGGAAATCCAAAAGTTCAGGAGCGAGCTAAACTAAAAACGGCAAATGTAAATAAAAAGCAAAAAACAAAGAAAACCACTCAGATTTTACACTCATACTAGCAGGCGTGTTGAGTGACTTGGCTTTGTTTATTTTAGGCGAATTCGCCGCGTTCGCTTCTCGCCGAGTATCCGGCAGCTACGTTCACCGTTCGCTTTTCGCTTTAGTATCGCTCAGATATTCAAAGCGTTCGGTTCGCTCGAAAAAGAGAACGCGCGACAAAAGCGGCCCGAAAATAAATTACATTTAAATACTGCCCCACTGGCAGCCCAGAAAAATAGGAAATCGATCTGAAAACCATATATAAAAATCGGGCAGAGTTTTGTGCGCGTGTGTGTGTGTTAAGAGAAAACCCCGAGGAAAACCCAAAATAAAAAGTACAAAATTAATCATTTTGAGATGAGCCAATGAAACGTTTTTTATACGCGATCAACGGTCGCGTGCTCAATTCGCGTGTGTGTGTGCGTGCCTGTGTGTCGCCAAGGTGTGAAAATATACACATATGCACAAGTATATATATATATATATATATCAAATGATACAACAAAAAAGTATCCATATACACAACTGCATAATAGCGGTGCCACAATTAACGCAAGCCAAATAAAAGGCGTAAATTTAAGCAGAGCAATTTGAATTTCTAGATCGTCCGCTAAGTGGCTGAGTAAACCAAATGGATTTTGTGATCAAACGTTTAATTTTTTTCGCCGAGTTTCGCAGAGTATCTTGAAGATAGAAAAAAAGATGCATTTTATTCTTTGCAGCTGATCAGCGGCTCTCTCTCTCTCTCTCGTATTACCATGGCCAGTGTTGCCAGCTTCGTATTATCTTGTCCTAGTGTGCTTATCGCCATGTGTGTGTGTATGTGATTTTCGCTATTTTTTTTGTTTATTATTTGATATTGTTGCGGCGAATTTGCAAAGCGTCCAAGCGTGCAAAAAAAAAAAAAATTAAAACGTTACCCTCAACAAAATTTAAACAATTTTAGAGGTTCCATTTATACAGTTATTTGACTGTGCTCGTTAGCAGTCTCTATTTTGTGCGGTTTCTCCAAAAATTAAAAGACCTTTTTATCGTTCTTTAGAATTTTAATATTTAAAAGCAATTTCAGGTCTGCCATTAAATTTTTATTGTTCTTTCTTTAAGTTTTTAGAATTGTTATTAAAATATAATATGTATTTAATTTTAATACAATATGAAAACTAAAGTTAATTTGACTTAAAAAAATGTTAAAAACTATTATTTTTAAGAACCATACATTTTTTGCTTCTTTTATTAAATTATTATCTTTATTTATGGTTCATAATATTGTTTGCAGTTGGCATATTAGATTTGTGTTGGTCAGTTGAGTTTTATAATGTTTTTTGGCTGATACTGCGCGTTTTCTGGCCACTGAGATAAAGAACGAAGGAGAGAGAGAGAGAGAGAGAGAGAGGAGAGTGCGCAGTTTTATAGGCGATAAGCTGTCTGGGCAGCCCTTTTCCCCCCTTTCCATTTCCTTTCCCCCCTCACCGGTAGACAGGTGCGTTCACTGAGTTCAATTCGCTTTTGTTGTCACTTTGCTTTTATTGTGGTTCTTCTCGCTCTTTTTATGAAGAGAACAATACACATATGTTTTCCCCTGTAATTGTGTGGGTGCTCGGTGAGTTTAGTCATTAAAGTCTTTTGCCTCTAGTTGTTGTTTTTGCTGTAACGGAAGTGGCTTTGTCGCTCTTAAGTAGTTGATGTCTTTTTTTCGGCGGTTTTTGTAGCTTTGTGGTTTTGACTTACGAAGTTAATGAAAATCTTAAAAAAAAGGTACGATTTGGTTTTACGATTTTTAAGTTGTAATGAAATTTAAAGATTTAACACAGGAACAAAAATTCTGCTTAAGCAGGGTTCCAAAACGTTTGAAAAACATCCTGGTTAAAAGAAGTAAAGTCATTTTTACGATTAAAAAGTTTATAAGATAAGTTAAAAGATTGAATTTTATATCTTTTTGTTTTTTTAAGCCAAATCCGTGCTTTTTATTCTATAACTTTTTATTCAAAATGAACCAAAACAAACATGTTTTAGATAAACCCTAAAGTGAATACAACTTTTGTACCCAGAAACCGAATCAATGCTAACCAGCTGCACACACACGCAGACAGATCTCAGTATCCATTTCCCCTCCGGTGCTCCGCGTTTCCCACACGACTTTGGTGTTTATGATTGTTATTATCATAAGGAATTACCATTGTTATCCGGCTAAATCTAGTAATCCAGTCATTACTCACTCACGCGTTGGCCCTCTCGCTCGCACTCGCAGCAACCTTATCAATGGGAGACCGACTCGTGCTTTTGATGCTGATAACACGCCTTGACTTGGCCTACCTGTTTCGT